TTTGTTTTGTGTTTCAGTGGCCTGCTCAGCCCGCCCTGGGCTGACCAGGCGTGTGGTGCTGGGGATCAAACCGCGGTCCCTGCGCTTTGCCTAAGCTTGCCTAAGCAAGCGCTTTAAATCACTGAACTGTCTCTCTGGCCCGTTGTATACGTTTTGCCACCAAAAAGGGACAGAGTTTAGAGAATAAAAGTGAGATAGGAAGGCTTAGAGAGAAAAGAGGCCCTAGTGGAAGGTTTAGGACATACGGAAACAGGTCAAGCATTTTGTACAAAGCAACTCAGCTGCTAAAGCTAAAAGTGGAGCTGTCTCAGAAGTTTGTGACCTGCCATGGATGGTTCGGCCTCCGCGACCATGCAAGCCACTTCCTCTAATGAGTCCCCCTCCCTCATAGACGTGGATGTTCTGTTCATTGGCCTCTGCAGAGTCCTGGCTAATACGGATGATGCAGTAGCAGCGGGGTATACAGGTTTCTGTGGGGCTTAGAGGCCTGAGCTGAACTTGTGAAAGTCTCCATCACATGGTGGACCAGATAGAAATTACAAAATGAGAGCAGGACAGTTGTGATGGAGTCCAAGAGGCCTCTGCCATCGATATCTCTTGGAGTTCAGGCCCCTGCACAAGGTCCCCTCCCACATGGCCAGCTCTGGCCTTGTGACAAGTGATAAGGAGGCTAAGTCATGACAGACATAAAGGAGAAAATCCATAGGGTTCAGGGCTGTCAGAGGAGGTCAAGCGCAGGCAGTGGACGTGCTAGTGTAACAGAAAACCACCCCCAGCAGTAACTTCCACTTCTGAGTTGCCCGGGTACAGTTCCTGCGCCACATCCAGTTGCTTCTGGCCCTTAGAAATGGCTGGCCACCAGGATGCACAGCTGGTCACTGTGGTGCACATGGTAGAAACCAACCCTCAATTGATACGCTGTTCTGTCTCTGTACTTCCTGCTTGTGTATCCCAGATAAGCCTGAGACCACCAGAAAACAGAGACTGATATTTTGGGAATGACTCCAATAAGTGCCTGTTGACATAAAATAAATCCTGCTCCAAGTCCTGGCTGTTGTTTTGGTGTTTCCGCTTGCCATTGCACTAGGATGAGAAATAGGAAGAAAACTGGGTGCTAGATGTGTAAAGATGGAGCTTTCGAAATTGGAGGCTGGGGCTCTCGGGACTTGGGGTACAGGTGCTTTAGGAAGGACACAGCCAGGCAGCTCTGGCACCAGGGTAGACTGGTGGCAGGGACAAGGCACAGTGCCTGCAGTCCTACTCGCCCCCCCCCCCCAGTCATGGCACTTTGGCTCCAGATCACTGTCATCTTCCACAACTTTCAGTCCTGCACTCGTAGTACCTCTGCACTGTCACAGAAGAGCTCCACCTGATTGTCCGTAACCACGGACGCACACTCTCTGCCCTGCCCTTTGGCTGGTCTCCGAGTCCCTCCCACTGTGCTCTGAAGAAACTTCTAGCCAGCTGTTCCTCTACTTTCTTTGACTCAGGAACTTTCGGATGCCTTCCTTCCTCTCAGCTGAAAGTCCAGAGCCCATACTCCCATGACATGGTTCCCAAAATACCGCCATTCCTGGCACAGTCCTCTTCTGTCACACCTGCCTGGCAGCACTCCAACCTTGTCTTCCTTGAACTTGCTCCTGGCCATAAGTACTACACCTCCCAACCATGCCCGTCATTGCTGTGCACACTGCCACCCCCCAATCAGGTCATTCATGCCACCCAGCAGTCCTAAGCTTGCCAAGCCAGTTCTCTCTCCAGTCTCCCAATGTGGAATCCTAGGTCTTCCGCAAGCCCCTCGGTGTCCCACCCCTCAGCCCTCTTTGCTCTTCCAGGTGCTTACTTCACCCAAGAAAGAGAAACTATCAATGTGGCATCTGCGAGCTCCTGACAGCTCCTCTTTCCTGCAGTCACTGCCTTCTTTCTGCGTTCCCTTTGCAGCCCAAACACTGGGACAAGCGGCCCATTTGAATGCTTCACTGCTTCTCTTTCCCCATTCCTCAGTCCTCTCAAACTCTGACTTCTGCCTCGTGGCTGACACTGCCCTGATCAAGTGTATCAAAGGCACAGTGTTTATCAATGTAGTGGGGTGGGATGCATGCATGGCTCCACATCAGGAACACGCAACTATGCAATGAATCAAAGAGGTACAGTTTGTTTTATTTATTTATTTTTGGCAGAGCTGGGGCTTGAACTCAGGCCCCTGCGCTTGCCAGGCAGTGCTTATTCTACTGAGCCATCTCCCCAGCCCGTTTACCGATATAAAGACTTGACCTTTCAATACATCATTGCTGCTCTAGCTTTCCTTTTCAGTTGCTGTTTCCTCCTTAATTTCTCACACCCTCTCTCTCTGTCAGTCTCTTTTGCATTTTCTTTTCCTCTACCAGGAGGAAAACTAGCACACTCTCCTGGCCCTCTTACTTGCTGCACGGTTCCAATCAGTTTCCACAAGAGACGTTGCTCAGAGCTGCATCTCTGGCCCAGCCTTGGCCCCTGAGTTCCAGCCCCAAGTAGCCAGCCGTGACCTCAACATCTCGGCGTGACATCATGTCCAAGTGCACATTTCCACTGTAGTGTCACCCTCCATTCCTGCCCAGCTTCTCCTCCATTTCTCCCTCCATGTGCACCACTGGCCTTTCAGTTGCCCAAGCCAGAACCCCAAGGGGATCCCTGACTCACCCTATGTTTCCCAATCGATCTCCAAGGTCCAACAAGTCTCCTCCTGTGTCACTCAGATGCACGCCCATCGCGGTGCTCACTGCAGACTGGTAGCAGCTTTCCTGCCGCTCTTTTTGTTTCTCATTTCACTTGCCCTATCTACCTTTCTCCATCTTGCGCCAGGAAAACCCTTTGCTCTTCCACCTAAAACCATTCATAGCCCTCCTAGAAGAGGGCCCAGGCCCTGAACACCTGCGTAAGCTCCATTTCTTCCCACTGAGGCATCTCTTCCATAAGAGGGCTTTCCTGTGTGCTGGAGCAGGCTGGTTGCATGCACCTCCCACCTCAACACCTCTTATGCAGTTGTCATTCCAGCCTAAGCAGGAATGGGGCTATGGAAGACTGGCCAGATAATCCACTCCGTTCTCTGTAGAACCAATGTGCTTAGGGAAGGAGCCTGCTGTGTGGCTAATAGTGCAGGCCTGGAAACCACAAAGTCCTGAGACCTTCTCCAGCTCAGGCCTATCACAGACTTCTCTGACTCGCATCACTCCCTCTGTGGCATGAGAGCGAAATGAGATGAAAGCTTCTGAATACAGGGATGGTGGAGGGAGGGCCAGGAAAGCAGACAAGCCTGCTGTGGATCGTAGCCGCCACTCAGGAGAGTGAAGCTCTAGGTCCCACCCCATTGAGGGGTGCAGACCTCCTTGATCTCCCTTCCACAGAAGTGGCCTCCGAGCACTGTGTGCTTCAGGGAAGACCAACCTTGTTAACGCGTCCACCGGGATGGACTAGAAGACCACAGACACTTCTTTAGAACCTGTGGTCATTGTGAGCAGCTGTGGCCTAGGAGAGCAGGCACAACTTCCTTGGGGTCTTGAAGTAAAACACCTTCCCAGTACTGAGATAGCGAGGCTGCCTTCAGGTCAAGGAACATACCGGGAAACTAGGAATTTAAAACGGAACTGGAGGGCCGGGGAGATGGCTCAGTAGGATAAGTGCTTGACTGGCAAACACAAGGATCTGAGTTCAATCCCTGGTTCCACCAAAAAAAAAAAAAAAAAAAAAAAAAACGGAACTGGCCGAGGCTGGGACACTGAGGGAGCACAGCTGGAGACAGGCGGATGAGACAACAGCTCTGCCTTCCAAGACTGCGCAGGTGACAAAGATACCTTTAAATCATTTAAATCAAACCCACTGAGGAAGGGGCGAGCTTCCAGATGGTGAGGGTCACACGTAGAATAGTCGCCATAGTAAATCACACCTACACTTTACACATCCAGACATGTACACTGAAGATGGCAATGAGACACGTCATACGGGGCGGCACGACAGAGCAGGCACAAATGACCTTCAGCTCTATCCGTGGTCGCATCAAAAAACTGGGTCACTCCCTGCTCCGGAGATGCCTCCAAAGCAGTGCAGCACTCCGTCCTTTTACGAGTCAGCCTGGGGGTCCTGTCCACTCACAACTTTCCCCTTTGAGCTCTAGTATAAAAATAAAAACCTGGGGCCGGATATAGCTCAGCGGCACGGCGCCTGCCTGGCAAGCGCGAGAACAGGAGTTTGATTCCTGGTTTTATTTATTTATTTATTTATTTATTTGATTCCTGGTTTTAAAACAAATGGTCTAAAAAAATAAAAATAAAAATAAATAAATAAATAAAAGAAAAACAAATGGTCTGAAAAATAGAAGCCTGTTCCGTGCCAAGGCATTCCTGATTCCTCTGATCGCACAAAAACCAGCCAAGCACACGTCTGTAATCCCATTAGTAAGAGGGTGAGGAAGGTGGATCGCAAGTCCCAGCTCGGCATGAGTATTTAGCAAGACTCTGTCTCAAAAAGAAAAAAAAAGGCCGGGGCGCAGCCCCGAAGGCTCTTGATTCCATCCTCAGCACACCGAAAGAACCCAGGGAGCTGACGAGGACGGTGGAGCTTCCGTTCTGATTCGGACCTCGGTAGCTATGGGACTTGGGAAGTCCGCCCAGCTGCACGCATTATACGCAGTTACCGCCTAGAGGAAACCCACAGCCGACACCAGTGTTTTCTAGCCCTCCACAGTCATTAAGGTAGAAAGGCCAGTGAGGTTGAAGCCCCATCTGTGTGTCTCAACCACTAATCCCACAGCCGACCACACCTGGCAAGCTCCTCCGCAGAGCACGCCCTGCAGACGCAGCTGAAGGAAAGGCTTAGCTTTGCAGACTCGCAAGCGCGCGCCGCCCCGGCTCCCTCAGGGCGGGGCTCAGGAGTCATCTCTTTGCGCGTCCGATCACGTGTGACTTTCTTGTCGCCCTCTTTTAGGCTAAGAACCAATCAGTTTCGAGAGTGTAGCAACGCTGGTCGTGTTGCGTCATCAGGAGGCGCCGCGGCGAGGCCCCAGAGGTCGGCCTCCTCGCTGCTTTTCGGGATGTCGGTGGCTTTCGTACCCTACTGGATGAGAGGCAAGGCGGTGGTTGATCAAGAGACGATCCAGCGAGTGAGCGTCGTCACGGGCAGAGGGAGGCCGAGGGCCCCGGGGGCGCAGGAGCTCCCCGGAGCGACCGCTTCCGGTGGAGACTTTAAGCCTGCGGAGCGAGCGGCCGTGGGGCGAGGAGAGACGGGAGCGGACGGGGCTGAGTCCGCGGAGAAGCCAGGCCTGGCGGGGCAGCCCGCTCCGCGGCCTCCGCGTCGCCCCGCTGAGCCTTTCTTTGGTCCTGCAGCTCCTGGAGGAGAATGACCAACTGATCCGCTGCATCGTGGAGTATCAGAACAAGGGCTGCGCGAACGAGTGCGTTCAGTGAGTGCCCCTCGTCCCGGTCGCCAGGCGGAGGCGGTCCCGAGCTAGGGTCTTCGTGGTGGATCGCAGTGGAGCCTCGCTGTGCAGGCGAGAATAGGGAGGCCCACACCATGCAGCCAGGGCTTTGCGGATCCCGGAGTTAGACGTGGCTTCCTCCTCGGCGCTGGGATACTCTCCCTGCAGAGCGGATGGCGGCAGGGGTGGACGGGGCGCACACGCGAGCGGGGCTCCGGAGAGCGGAGCAGGGGCCCCGTGAATCTCAGCCTTGTTTGAAAGGCCGTCTGGCTGCTCAGTCCCCTTTCCTTTTCTCGCAAGCTGCGAGCCGCACACAAGCACCAACAAAGGATGCCCAAAGCAGGTCGAAGGTAAATTCCGCAAAACTTCATGTGTTTTCTAACCAGTAGCAAAATGGGAAAAAATAGTGTCTCAGTCTTTTTCCAAATGTGGTCAATGAGTTATGACCCATTTCTTATAGAGAATAATTATTTTTTGTCCTTGAAGAAACATTTAAGAAAGTCATACTTTACCTTCCCCCAAAGCCGCCTACAGTGGCAGAGTAAGTCTTGATGTATGACTGTGATATTTAGCAGTTTTATTTTTTTCAGTTTATATTTTTCTCCGTGGGGAATGGTTGCAGAATATTCTGATTGGTGCTGTCGTTTTAAATGCAGGATAAGAAAGTTAGGGAATCTTTCTGTTTTGAATCTTTTCTGTTTCTGTTTTGAGTTTTTTGGTACTGGGAATCGAACTCAGGACCTTGTGCTTGCTGGGTAAGTGCTGTGCCACTGAGCTACATTCCCGGCAGGTTATGCTTCTGAGCGCTAGTGTGATTGTCCTTCCGAATGGAGAGCTTTGCTCCTTGACTGGAAAGCCCTGCGCAAGCCCACATTATAGTTGAAGCGTCTCGTTCCTTTTGAAGCTTGTTCAGCAGTAGTATAGAGTACTGGCCGGAGTCTGTAGTAAGAAATATACCACTCTACTTCCATGGAACTGATATTCTGGACTCCAGGATCTAGAAAGAAGGAAATCCATCCGCACCTAGTAGTAGTTTAGGTAGAATAAAACAGGGAGGAAGGGCACTAGTGCTTAGGTAAAGCAGTAGCATGAATGGCGCCTTGGGTTTGATCCCTAACGCGGTAAATAAATAAGGTAGAGCCAGTAGGGAGGAGAGTGCCGTTTCATAAGTCCTTCTAACAGGTGACAGTTAAGTAGAGGTGAGGGAGCCAGCTGTGCAGCTGGAAGTCCCCCTCATGTAGGGCTTTGTAGGATACAAGAAAGACAGCTTTATTCTGAATGAGAGGGGAGCCTGTGCAGGATTTTAAAGTTATGACCTGATCTTAAGTGATCGCTGAGACTGCTGTGTGGAGAATAAAGCAGCTGGGAGTGAGACCGTGTTGCCATGGTGCAGGCGGGAAGAGTCGGGCTTGGCCTGGAGAAGGAGCTCTGACAGTGCCAAGATTTATATATTGTTTCTTTTGTTCAACAAGAAGGTTGACAACACTAAATCAAGTCAGTAATGAGCCATTCCACTAGAGTGAGTAAATTCTTTCCTAGGATTTGTTCATGGTCATTAAAGGAAGCTTTTCCTAATAGTTGCTGTTCCCCCACAGGTATCAGCAGGTGTTACATAGAAACCTCATTTACTTAGCTACCATAGCAGATGCCAGCCCAGCCAGTACTTCAGAAACAACGGCGTGATCTTCTGCTTGGCTGTTGCGAGGGGTGAGCAGATATAAGCCCGCTTCTGTGAAATGGAAGTAGGATCTTTATCATCTCCATTGCTTGGAACGTGAATGAAACCTCTGTGCCGCCTTTTCAAATGGGAAAATGTGGAGAAACCTACTAACTTAATTGTATTCTCAATGTAAATATTTATTTTAATAATAAATTGGATCCCTTGGAACTGACTCCAGGCGTCCTTTTTTCTTTGAACAGGAATGGGTTTTGGAGCATCTTTAAGACTACATCTTAGTTTCAGTCTGACGAGAAAAGTGAGTAGATTCTGGGCAACCAGCAGGACCTGGAGGGCTAGAGATGTAGGTCAGTGGTAGAGCACTTGCCTAGTGTGCTTGAGGCTCAGGGTTCAATTCCAGGTACCCCCAAAAGGTACATTTCATACATGTACCCACTCCGTGATGAGTATAACCATGGAGATAGAGATTTTAAAGACAACTTTTTTTTTTTGGTGGAACTGGGGATTGAACTCAGACCCTTGTGCTTGTCTGGCAAACACTTAGTCTACTGAGAGATAAAGATTTTAAAATGAACTTTAAAAAAAGGAGTCCCTGAGACTGCTGAGAGCTTGCCAGATGGACAGGTACCTGTCTGCTCCTCACCGCAAATGTGGGCCTGGCGGTCTTCTCAGGTTCTTTGAAAATAAACCTTGTGGGCTGGCAGGCTCTTACTAGGTGGTCCTGTGGAGGGTTCTTGCTGGCCTGCCCTGGTGCTGCCTCCTCAGGCTGCAGCTGTGCTTCCTCCTGGCCTGAGGCCTCGCCATTCCCTGGGCATGGGGCCTGAGGTGGGGGGCAGCTCTTCTCCCCACTGGACCTGCACTGTCTGCAGGAATTGCTGCATGGTGAACACTGGGTCCCAGTCAGCATCTCAGAGTTCCTTGGTGCCACTCATGTCACCCCAAATTTGCTTCTTGTTATGGTTTGTATCTAGTTACCCCCTCATGCAGTCATTGGGGCAGATACAGGGTCTCACTACACAGATCAGACTCTAGTGATCCTCCTATTTTCAGCCTCCCAAGCGCTGGGATTACAGGTGTGCACCACCACATCCAGTCAGTCTCTGTGCCCCAGGGGCAGGGCCAGCACCAGATTTGGCTCAGTGGTAGAATGCTTGCCTAGCAAGCTGGAATCCCTGGGTTCAGTTTTTGGCACCAAAAACAAAACAAAAATAAATCTCCCTAAAAAAAAATTCAATCAAGAAGCAGGGTTAAAGCCTTGGGAAGTGAGATGGGGAGGAAGAAAAAACACCAAGGGGGTGTGGAACTAGGTTGCTGCTGTAGGCAGCGGGCTTCATGCAGAATGTCTGCAGCCGAGCACCTGAGCAGCCCTTGGGGCTGTTCCCAGGGTGTTGCTCTCCTGCACGTCAGAAGAGCCTCCTCAGTCAGGTGCCAAGGTCTGTGACACACCTGGGGCTCCTGCTCAGGGGACCCTGAGGAGTCCCAGGGGCCTCAGCATCAAATGCAGCAGCAGCTGCCTTGTCTTTCTGCAGGATGTTCTCATGGGCAGGAGGAGAACAAATGGGCAAATCTGAAGGCTGCGCACACAGCTGTGGCTGCAGAGCCACTGCTCTCTCCAGACACCTCTCCCCACTAGCTCCAGGGAGCCCGAGGCCCAGGCTTGTGCCATCCTGCCACCGGGACCCAGGCAGCGGGGTGGCTGTGGCGATGGCCCCAGCACACTGTGTGTTGTGGAGGCCCACCTGAGCAGCTGTCCTGGAAAGAAGAGCGGCTGTCTCCATCTTGGCTGAGCCCGACCCCACTTCCTCGTATTGTTCTGTACAGAGCTGGCCAGGACTTCTGTTTACCCTTCAGTTGGCCTTAAGCAATGTGTATTGGTCTAGCTGAGGTGCTGGGGATAGTCTTTGGAGGTGGCGAGCGTGTTTCCCTGGTAGCCTATACCTGCTGCTCCTTAATGTGAGCCGGGTTAAGACAGGATGAAGAGCCAGTGCTCTGTGCCGCCAGCTGGGATCGAGCCTCGAGACAGAGGCCATGACTTCCTGGGGCTTGAAAGGCTACATCAGAGCTGAAGCACCAGACTTACCAAAACATTAGATACCATATAAAGCAAATTCTCTCTCTGCATATCCTCTCGGCATATGACGGAGGTAAGTGCAGGCCACCCACCTCGCTCAGCTCACAGTGATCACCTACTTCCCACAATTCTCAGTCAGTCCTCCTCAAGCCACTCCTCCATTAAATAAAACTGGGTGAGGCCCTGGGTTGCTCTCTGGGTTCCGGAAAGCCATCTTCATGGCTGGGCTTAGAGCCCCTTGACTCTGATGATTGAAGATATAACTTAGTGTCTTTATTTTCGCTGTCCGTTGCATCGTAAGGGGTAGATTGGAATCAACTTGAAGGAATTCCAATACAACTGGGATTATAAATACTGACTTCTCGGACTGAGACAAGGACCTGAAGCATCTCCTGCAGCGTGTGGTTGCCTCTGCTCAGTCTCACTGCCCTTTCCAGCTCGAGGACAAAATGGCCTCTGAACCACACCAGGACCTGGATTTCCAAGCCAGCTTGTTTTTATTTTTCTTCAATTTTTCACACCTATTTTATTAAAGTCAAATTTAATAGGCTGTTCATCTGTTCTTTTCCTTGCTTTTTCGCCTGCCCATCAATAATAATGTAGAGAGCGATGCTGACCATTTTGGCATTACGACAGGCATCCTTAAGGAATTTGTACCTGTAGCAGTATATTTTGATTCTTCTTTTCTTCCCCATTCCCCTCCCCTCCTTTCAACCCTTCTTGCTTACAAAACCTTTGTTTTCTTTTTTTATTTAAATTTTTAAATACATTTTTATTTATTTGGTACAGGGTCTCACTACGTAACTCAAACTCATAGTGACCCTCCTGTCTCAGCCTCCCCAGCACTAGGATTACAGACATGTGCCATCACACCAGATTTTGGTGGCCAGCACAGCATATAGTACCATAGATTTAACTTCTGAGAATTGCTTTTACTAGACAGGATCTGTTAAAAGCATTGCACAAGGTAGAGCAACCTTAGAACTGCGACACTATGCATCAAGCTTAAGAAACAGTTAGGCTGGGGCTGGAGAGATGGCTCAGTGGTCTAAAGCACCTACTTGGAACAAGCGTGGCAAAGCACAGGGACCACGGTTCGATCCTCCAGCACCACATGCCAGCCAGCCACGCCCCCTGGTGGGCTGAGCTGGTCACACACACACACACACACACACACACACACACACACACAAAATGTTAAAAAAATAAATAAAAATAACAGGAAAAGTTTATTAAAAAAAAAAAGAAACAGTTAGGCGTCTTTAGTACTGCAGGATTAGTGCAAAGGTGAAAGACAGAGATAGAGACAGATAGACACAGAGACAGAGACAGAAAGAGATAGACACAGAGAGATGTGAAAATATCCTGAGTTTGAACCCCAGTACCAAAGAAAAAAAAAATGCTGGGGAGGCAGTTCAGTGGTCTAAGGGCCTTCCTGGCAAGCGCAAAGCACTAATCCTGCAGTACTAAAGACGCCTAACTGTTTCTTAAGCTGGATGCATAGTGTCGCAGTTCTAAGGTTGCTCTACCTTGTGCAATGCTTTTAACAGATCCTGTCTAGTAAAAGCAATTCTCAGAAGTTAAATCTAGTGCTGCATTCCAGCTGAGAGTGTGTTGGGGCATCAGAGAAGGGCACAGCTCAGTGACCCCAAACCCCTGCCCTGAGCCCCATCCCCCAGCTATCCCTGGGGGTGCAAGCCTGGGGCCCCCGATCCTGGGCAGCCAGATTGCTCCCTGGAGTGACTAGACTGCTGAGGAGACCCTCGGACAGAAGAATGGCCACGTGGCAAGCAATGGAGATTTGTTCCTGGTGACGGAGGCAGCTGGGGCTATTGGAGATGCTGTGTGGCCAGCAACCCTACCAGAGTGCTGAGGCCAAGGGGGAGGCCCCCAGGAAGCCACCAGGAGAAGAAATTCTCTTTCAAGAAACCTCTAGGGGGCCTGCCCCTTAGCTCAGTTGTTTAAGTGGCTGCTTCAACAAAGCAGTCAGGCTCAGGTTGTTGTGGTTGGATCCCCACAGCTCAAGCCAGCCAAACCTGCCCTGAAGGCATTGGGAGCAAAAAAAAAAAAACCTCTAAATTGAGCGGCCTTTCCTACAAAAGTGGAAAGGATGGTGGAGCGGTTCCTCTGCCTCAGCCGCAGAGGGGGATGGGTGTCTGCAGTGAGGCGAACGGAGGGAAGGGAAGGCTGCTGCCCGCCTGAGAGCCAGGCACCCCAGGCCAGTGGGCAGCTAGTGCTGCCGCCCAGGGAGGAGACTGTTATGGTTTGTGTCTAACTGTCCCCCCAAAGCCTCATGTAAGGTACGGGGCAGACACGGCTGGAGCAGCAATGGATGGCCTGAGGACCAAGGCGGGGCCCACGGGGGCGGGGCCAGATGACTAGGGCGGGGCCTGAGGACCTGGGCGGGGCCGTGGGCGGGGCCAGATCACAGGGCGGGGCCTGAGGACCTGGGCGGGGCCAGAGCACAGGGTGAGGCCAGATGACTAGGGCGGGGACTGGGCGGGGACAGAGGGCGGGGCCAGGGACTGGGGCGGGGCCTGAGGACCTGGGCGGGGCCGAGGGCGAGGCCAGAGAGGCGCCACCCATTCGACAGGCTAGCCTGTGCTTTCTCAGAAGAGTGGGCAGGGTCATCCTGGACAGGGCAGCGCCCCAGCCTCTCCTTCAGTGTCTTGAAACCTCCAGGCACTGTGAGCTAAATAAGCCTTTCCTTCTCTCGTTTTGAGTGTCGGCTATTTGTCCCAGCAACAAGAGAAAAGTAACTGATACAGAGACCCAGGAAGAGGTGGGGCTCAGGCCACAGAGCTATCCACCCCCTCCGAGCCGAGAGTGTCCTGCCTTGGCCTGCGCCCAGCGGAGCGAGTAGCCGCATGAGGGCAGGTGGGTGATCTGTAAGCCACAAAAGCTGTGCTGTGAATCTCCTTCCTAACTGCATTCATGTCCCTTCTATTGAATTAATTAAAAATATTTATTGCTCAGCTAGTGGGTGCTGAGAAGACCGTAGTGAGGAAGCCAGTGTTCTCGCTCATAAAACCTTGGAGCAGAGGCAATAAATGCGGGCAGCTGCACAAGGCAAACATGCTCTTCAGAGTATTATGCAAGGTAACCCTCCGAGGCATGTCTGGACAGCTACTTGA